TATATGAAAGTAATTTATGGCGTAGAATACCTTATCTAGTTTGTTTATTCACGCACCGCGATATTCTTTTCTGGTGGCTTGTCGCAACGACATCAAAACACTAGAAATATCGATCCAGGAGTGATATTCTGTCTTTCTCAATTTTCAAAAATAGATATCCCGACTTCACGCTGTAAAAGCGTGTAGCTCATTCAAAATATGCAAATTTCGTGAGAAAAAGGTCATATAAACAACACTTTATAATTTAACAATTTTTGATGCAATGTTTAAAGGAAAGAACCCTATTTACTTATCCCGTTTTTTTTACATGGACCAGCTTATACTAATTAGGGGAATTTCCAAATGCAACTTTTTCAAATAAATTCAAAATAAATGCTTTGAATGCTCTTAAAAATCATATTCTAGACGAAATGGCGCAATGCATTTGATTATCAGATATCTTGGTGTAAGGTTTCACGTTTTTAATTAAAAAATGACCTCTCAGGTCAAGAAGCATACCGTATTTTACAAAACAAGACTGCGATGAATAACACAGTAAATGGGGAAATATAATAGACAAAACTATCTATTGATACGTAAAATATAGCTATTAGAACAAATAAACTTATCACTCTGAGTCTAGAGCTGATTGTAGAGGTCTGATCCTTCGTCTTGTCAAAGAATTCTTTGGGTTCACGGAACGACTCGATTCGAAACTGACGCTCATTGACATCTTTTACATCTCTTGCATTTGTAAGATGGTTGAGCTGCCGTTGAGCGTCTCAGTATGTACTTTTTTGACATCTTAATTGCAAAAAAGCATTATGGATAATATGATTGACAATGTGACCTTGGTATTCCTGTGCTATCCAACCAGGAAATTATGGGTAATTTTAGTTGCCAGGTTACTTTGTAGGTATGCACTTGATTGGCTGATTATTATGGTATATTTGACAGGGCTACCTTTGCCCTGGTAACTGCAAAACTGTGTGATTGGATGGGACATTTAGTATTCTGAGCATGCGCTTATGTTTTATTCAGTTACATAAAGCACACGTCGTCCCACATGGTTCTTAACAAGCAAATTTATTAGTATATAAGTCAAGCAAACAGTAGTAATATACGATGATATGCCGCAGACTCGGAGGTAGACTTACATGACGTATGCTAATTTAATAAATGTCATGACGTCATGTGTGACGCAATGACACAGGGATCCCAGTTGGAGTTGTCTGATTTCCGGTTAGAAAGAATATCACATGATAGGAAGGTTGCGGATTGAACTTCCGGTGTCCCAAACGCGACATGACACATAGATTGACAAAAAGGTAAAACTAAAGTCGGCCTAGCCTATGGCTAGCCCTACTAATTAAAGGTCAAGTATACTACAGTATCAAAACTAGACCCTGTATGCAGGGTGGACACGTACCCTTTGTTGTGCATGATGTTGTGAGATCATTAGTAAATGAGGCCTTATTAAAACCTTACTGATACAGAATAAAGAAATGATTTGATCCATCGAGCCTTGCCAAGATATATGTGATTTTTGCGATAAGCTTATATGTGGTGGCTCTTAAAATTTCAGCTGTAACTGCCTTTGTGATTCTGCAGTATAATTTTAAGGTCAGATATACCCGGAGATATATAACTAGGCATGATTTGGTTACAACGTGACGCTTTATTAACTTTTGATATGATAGTAACACAATATTTTTGCACATCTACATT